TATATATATAAGTATATGTGTGTATATGTTTGTATTTATGTGTATGTGTATGTATGTATGTATATATATATATATATATATATATATATATATATATATATATATATATATATATATATATATATATATATATATATATATATATATATATATATATATATATATATATGTGTGTGTGTGTGTGTGTGTATGCGTATGTGTGTATATGTATGTGTGTATGTATATATGTATATATATATGTATACGTATATATGTATATATATGTGTGTATGTGTGTGTATGCATGTGTATATATATATATATATATATATATATATATATATATATATATATATATATATATATATATATATATATATATATATATATATATATATATATATATATATATATATATATATATATGTATATATGTTATGTTTATGTTATGCTCCTTCCTAAAAACACGTATAATTATATTGAAAAATGTAATAAGTAATAAATAAAATATTTATGAGTATCTCATGAAATTGTTTAAAAAAAGTGTTCTCGATGACAAGGCTTTACACAGTTTTCTGCTAGTTTCCCTTGACTATATAACTAAAGGTTTAAAATTTCCCTTTTTAAGACTTTTTTTGTCTTTTCAAAATATAAACTATAAAACTATTTTACATTATTTTATTATTTTGCACATCAAATATATCTTAGTATTATTTCAGTTATTTTCAAAGCATTTTGATTGTTTTTGTAATAAAAGTATGTATTGTTAAAGATATGTAGTTGTAAAAAAAATATTTGGTAAAAAAAATATATATATATATATATATATATATATATATATATATATATATATATATATATATATATATATATATATATATATATATATATATATAAGGATTAGAATATGTTTTCCATTTCCCGTTATACCTAAACAAGCGCTTATTTTCTATAAAATATATAATTAAGATTACAATCATTTTGCTTAACCAGATTTCGTATTTGTCTTGATGCAAATCTTTTGCATCAAAACAAAATTATAATTAACCAATACTTTCTTTTTTATTTTAAATAGTAAACTTAAAAAGTAAAGTTTCATTTTCGTGTCAATATCAGAGGCAATTTTACGGAGGAAGAGGGGCATGTTACCTTTTTCCCTTCTTCCTCCAAAGAGGATAGTTAACAAGATAAAAAGTTATAGTTTGTTTTTTGAAGAACATTATCGGCTAGTTTAGTGTTTGATACCTTTTAGTTAAGTGAATTTAAGTTTTGAGGACCTTTTCCTTTATAAGAATCAATCGTGGCTTTTTAATGATTCACCCCCTCCTCCCTCAATTTGTTCGTAGAGTCGATTATGTAATAAGTCGGAAACTCACGTATAAGCCGAAGTAAAAAAATTACATTAAGTTTTAAAGTTTTTATTATATTTGTATAACTTATAATAAATCTAAATCTTGCAACAAGATCTTATTTTGCAATCTTTTTCACAGGATTTTCATCATGAAAACCTGGCAACGCATAGAAAAACAAAAGGTATCAATACTTTACCAAATGTATGCAAAAATTTACCTGGTACAAGTTGAAGACTAAACATTAATGACATCCTCTGAAAAATACATGCAAGTACGTCAAAAATACTTAAAAAGGCAAACAGTTTGTGTAAATTTTGTATGTATTGTAGAATTAATGTACGTATGTACATTGTAGAATAAATGTACGTATGTACACAAATGTACATTGTACGTATTGTAGAATAAATGAATTGTTGACGCTACAATCACTTGGAAAAAAAAGCTTTGTTTTGCATGTGTTTTGCATATTGGGCATTGTTAAGCATGAAGATGCTTTTTAACTTAATACGAATAAAGATTCTTTTTCACTTAACACAAAACTTAAAGTAATGATTATTGAAATATTTTTGCAAATTTTTAATTTTCTTTTTAAACTATGATTATCAATTAAAAATAAAAATTGAAAAAATTTATTCGCGAAAGTAAATGATAATGTGCTATTATACTTTGACGTTCCTAGAATCATGTAAGTGGCTCTAAAGTTGTTTTTCATCTAAAAAAGTTGTTTTTTATAAATTTTTAGATAGAGTCAGAGAAAATTGATTTTATTCAGATCAAAACAACACATTACAAGACACCATAAAAAAAATCAGCTTTCCCTTATGGTGATATGTGTTTTGCAAATTTTATTCTCAAAAAGATAATGAGTTGTTTGTACTATTAAAATCCAATCTCAAAAAAAATTACTTAGAAGTATAAAAGATGTCACAAACTGCAATATTTCCTATTTCAATTTTTTAACTTTCTTAACTAGTATCATTTCTTAACTTATTAAATTCAATAAATACTTTTTTTAAATATTTTTATCTACAAATAGATGCTTGGATTGATGAAAAGGTAAAATTAGTGGATTCTGCAAAGTTAAAACGATAAAAAGTTATTGGTGCAACTAGGTCGAAGGCTAAAAATGGGGTAATAAAAAAGGTTCTTGGAAAAGGTGGTGATAATTTTAATTTAATGCCAATACTCAACGGCATTTCATTGGTTAGTTTAATTGAAAGTTTGAATCAAATCTAGTTTTTAAATGGAGTAAGCCATTTAAAAACTAGATTTGATTCAAACTCACTGCTGGAGTGTCTCAATAAATTTAAAACATTGTAGTGTGCGAAAATACTTTTGATGTTCCTTAGAGACACAATGCCATTAATTAAATATCTACAAACATGCGGTATAGATTACAAGAAAGCTTATCATTTGGTATAAACAATTTTCGAATTCATAAAAGAAATACTTCATAAAAGAAATATACTATATTGAATCTATTAGAACTGCTGAAAAACTTTGTTGACTGTCATTAGAAGATGCATGCTTGAACCTATTAACAGAAAACTCTTTATCTTTAAAAAAAATATTAGATAAAAAAAGTTCATATTAAAGCTGCAAAGGAACCTTCTTAAAATATCAAGTTAAAGCATTTAATACTATTATCGTCAATTAGGTTTATTTATATTATTTTACAAAACTTTTAAAACATGCTGAACTTTGTGCTGAAAAAAATTAAGGAATATGGCAGACTTAAAAAATTGAAATATAAACTGTTTAGGTTTGCGAAAAAGTTGGCAATCATTGTCAATGATATTAAAAGAATATTTGTAGTTAAATGCTTATATGTGCCATATGAATTATGTTTCATTCTTTACTACATTATTTGACAGTTTTTTCAAATACCACAAAAGGCTTGCGAATTTTTTCACAAACTTACGTATCTTTGAAAATAATTCATGATATTTACTATCATACGAAAGTTTTACAACTAGCTGTATAAGATGTGCAAAGTATCCCAATCTTCTAAATGCTACGTTTTAAACTATCAATTCAACTTGTTCTCATTATTCCAAATTCCTGATATTGCTATGTAATTCTACTTTTGTTATTTGCTTTTTACAAATTTCATATTTAAATTCAATATGTATATCATGTTCAACTTGAACTTTTTATCTTGATAACTTTATGCTTTTGATCATACTTTCCTCATTGTCCGAAATAACAAGCTATATTTTTCTCTAAAAATATTCCAATACTTAAAGCATTTTTCAAAAAATCAGCAACTTGTTCATCTGTGTGTGTATGTTTCACAAGATACAAACTAGGCAGAGCAAGTATTAGTTTTTCGTGTTTGCTGTGAGAAAAAAAAAAAAAAATCCTAAAAATGATGTAGTAGGACCTTTTTAAGGCATCAAGGCACATTAAGAAGTGCCTGACTTCAGATAAAACTACATAAAATTTTCTTGTTAAAATAATAACTTTTTCATTAAGCAGACTAATAATTTTGACAAAAGCAGGCATTAAAAATTTAGAATTTAAGGTAATAACAATTTTCTAAAATTTGCATTATCTACGAACATTATTAGATTAAAAATATCAATTATTATTTAAATAAATGAACTTAGTCAGCTTTTATGCTTGTGTAAATTTGGAGGAAATACGGTATCCTACAAAAAAATTCATTGTAACAACGTCTGGTTCCGATATGAGAACGATTTCAGTAGAATAAACCCACGTTCATCCAGTGCTTTTTTCTATGTCCCCGTGTGCTTTTTTTCTTTATTTCTAACTCTTTAAGATCAAAGTGGACAGACAAATGTTTTCTTGCTAAATCATGCTAAAAAAAAACAAAGTAACTTTTATGTTTATACTTTGTTTATCTATATACAAATAAGTTTGTTACATTTAATCTGTTTGTTTATCTATATACAAATAAGTTTGTTACATTTAATCTGTTTGTTTATCTATATACAAATAAGTTTGTTATATTTAATCTGTTTGTTTATCTATATACAAATAAGTTTGTTACATTTAATTTGTTTGTTTATCTATATACAAATAAGTTCGTAAATATACGTTATTAAGTATTTACTCTAAAATAATTAAATAAGTTGTTTGTTTCATAATAAAATATAAGTTGGAGCTCCTTTCTTAAAACCTAACTAGTTGGGATAAAAATTTTTTTTTTTTTTCAAAAATAATGTAATATATAAGATTTCTATGAAAATGTTTAATGCATTATTGTTTTGTAATTGTTTGATTCATACGCATCTTTTAATTTATAAGTAGGTTTTACTTTAGCCGCATTCACTTTCAACATTTGCAGTAAAATGTATTTTTCTTAAATGAGTATACAATCACCTTTAGTATCGATTTTTTTAAATTGTTGTTAAAATTATTTACGTTGTTGCAATTAATTTTAAACCCTTTTATATGATTCTCATAGCAGGACATCTTCTTTTTAGATATTGGCAGTAGCTTGTATTGTTATTACTAATATTGCAATTATTAAATAAAAAACTATTTAGTTAAAAAAAAAGTTAAATTGTTAGAATTGGTAATAGTTATTTTATTTTAATAAAAGTTAACAAAACTCGAACGACTAATACCTTTTAACATCAAAGCTCATGCAGCTTGCATTTCTGATTTATTTTTTTTATTATTTAAATTAATTTTGAAATTCAGGCAATTTTTATCTGTTACAAGCTTCATTATTCGTTTACCTTGCAATTTGCATGGGAAATTTAATAAAATTAAAAATGCATACATCAATGGAAATGTTACAAAATCGTTATACAATGTCAATTCTGCTGACTGTGCAGTAGCATGTGTCAGCAACTTAAAATGCACGATAGCTAATTGGAAGGAAGATGAAATGCTCTGCGAACTGTTATCAGACACAAACCCCAAACAAATTTCAAAAGATCTCTGGATGGTTTTGCAACCAGACAACACTAACAATAAAATTGTAAGTTTTTATACATCTAACTGCATACTTTGTTATTAGCTGTTAAAAATAAAATTGAAAGAATTTAGTGAAGTTTTAAATTTTATTTATGAGTTTATCTATAAAAAAAAAAACTCCATACTAGCAAAAAAAAAATAATAATTACAACATTTTCCTCTAAAATGTTCATTTAACTTAAAAAATTAAAGACCATTTATAAATAAAATATAAAAAAGACTTTTTTTTTATTTAATAAAAGAATGTCTTCCAAACCAAAATTTTGATTTGATGTAAATACACTTTGCGTATTTGACTATATTAGTTGATGTATGAATTTTGTGGCGCGAAAATGAAAACTAAGAAATAAAAAAATTAAAGAAAAAAAAATGTAAAAAACAATTTTAAAAGTTATGAACTAAAAATTTATCAATTTAAAAACACTCAGCTGTAGACTTATCGAGTTTCTTGTTCAATCATTTTAAAAAATCAGTTTTGATTAAAGTGATTAATTATAAATGATGATTTAAAAATAGTATATATATATATATATATATATATATATATATATATATATATATATATATATATATATATATATATATATATATATATATATATATATATATATATATATATATATATATATATAAATACGCCAATCTAATACTGATATAAAAGATGTCGGCATAAGATCGAGCCAACGTCCTCGTTTTATCTTGGTATTAGTTACTAAAAGTTAATACATGCGATATGATTTACAAATAAAGCTATCGTATATATAATTTAGAGCTAAAGACTTTGTAGAGAAATATTAACTGACAAAAAATTGTCAGCCACTAAAAAAAGTTTTTGGTGAGTTTGCATTATATTTACTAAACATATGTAAATTGTGTTAAACATATTTAAAGTTATCTGAGTAATATGTTGTTTAATAAAAAGTAAATATATTAAAATTGGGTAATATATTAAATTCTAAATAAAATTTTATACTATAAACTAAATTCCACAATGTTCAACTATTGCATTAAATTTAAAAAATCCCATTGTAGCAAATGCTTCTTAAATGAAAATAAGTTAAAGCTATACAGACTTAATAAGCTAACTAACTAAGATAAATGATGCGATAAATTAATTATAAGCAATTATCTTATAGAAATATACATTATAAATTATATGTAAGTTGTGCAAAACAAATTTAAAGTCAACGAAGTTGACTATACGCTGTTTATAATAAAGTTATTATTATTAAAATTCGCATACCTATTTTAATTCGTAAGTATATTAAACTTTAAAAAATAATTTAGATTCATAAACTCAATAACACAATGTTTGAAAAAAGAATTGCATTAAAATTCTAAACAAAAATCAGAGGATAAATGAATAATAAACAATTCCTGATGGAAATAGACACTAAAAAGAAGATATGCTGTTTTGAAAATTTTTTAAAACTATATCAGTGAGATAAGCCAAGAACAGATGATTAAAAATTTAAATTATATTTAAGTTAAGATTGAAGGATTGATTAAAAAATGTAAAAACATTAAAATTCATTAAAAAAAAAGAAATTTTAAGTAAACCGCCTAACAGCTTAATTAAAATAATCTAATTTAAACTTTTATTTCCGATCATGAAGCTTTTTACATTATATGTAGCTGCTCACTTATTTGCAACAATCAACTTATTACAGATGGTATTGAATTTATGTTCGTTAATTTTGATTGTCGACTGCTTATATTATTTCGACGTCTTTGTTTACGTCGTGCTGGTATGTAACCGCTCATTAAAAATATGTAAAAATTACATTTTTATTTTGATCGGATGTCGTCTTTGAACTGCGTTGAAGTTATTTTGATGTCTTTGTATACCTCCTGCTGATGAGCAGCCGCCTGTTAAAAATATTTATTTTTTTGTTTATTTAAAAGTAAAAAAATGTTTTATATACCTATGAAAACTATAACGTTTTTTAGTTTACATATCAAGTTAATCCAATGCCAACACAAAAAATATAACTAACTCACAGAGTTTTCACCAACTTAATAATCAACCAACCAGACAAAACCGTGTTCTACATATAATACTTACAAACGCCCAAAAATTAGTATACAAATGCACAACCATCCACCGCTTGGGAAGTCAGATCACAATATAGTCCACGCTTTTCGATTAAATTAATTATATTGCAAGACTAAATCAGCACCTATATTAGCAACATACAGATCTCGTAACATTGCAGACACAGCAGAAGGTCTGAGACAAACCAAATGGAAATAAATTACCCCAAGTCATTTGAACTTTTCTCAAGACAATGGACAAATAGCATTCGACTTATTCTACCAACACATTATTCAGATAGAATATTATCATGAACCATTAAAAACAACAAAAACGTTAATAATAAACCATGGATGACAGCAGACATTAAGAAACAAATCCGAACCCGACAAAAACAGTACCACAATGGCAATCACGAGAAATGGAAAACAACATGCAAAATTATTAACTCAAAAATATGGCAAGGTAAAAAACAATTCTATGGTGGCCTCACTAAAAAAAGCAGCATCTGGAGAAATAAAACAAATAAAATTGAAAATGCTTCAAAAAACCAATCCATTGAAACAGATTTAGCAAAGCAATTAAACGAAGGTTTTAACAGTGTCTGGAATAATTCAAAGCAACCGGACATATCTTGCTTTATTTATTTTATAATTAATTTTATAATTCTATAATTAATTCAAACCACCAAAACGTACTTCTACTCTTTACTACCGGAATCGTTGCAATTCTTTTTAAAAAAATAAAACAAGGATCCCCTGAACCCGACTAAATCTCCCTGAAATTACTTAAATGCGTTCGTCTTGAAATCTCCGATATTCTAAGTCTTCTGTTTAACAAGTGTTTGTCTCACTCATTTACGCCTTATCAATAGAAACATAACACCTATCGCTAAATTACTAAACCCAAGTAACTGGTCAGGTTTCCGTCTAATCTCATTCACATCTCACCTCTGCAAGAGGTGAGATGTGAGTGAGATTGGATGTATGTTGGATAAAAATTTCTTGCCAAATTTGTTATCCAACATCTCACACCATCAAACAGCAAACAATATGGGTTCCTACCAGGTAAAAGCACAATCAATGCAATTGCATGTGTCATAGAAGACTGGCATTTTGCTAAAGACAAAAAAAAAAAAAAAAAAAAAAAAAAAAAAATTTAATTGCAATATTCTTTTACTTTGCTGAAACCTTTAGCGTAATTGATCACGAACTTCTTCTTACCAAATTAACAATATACCTCCGTAAAGGCTTATTTCCTGGATTGCATCGTACCTACAGAGATATTAAGAGATACTACCAGATATTAGCGTGTTTATAGTAACAGCATAGCAACAGAATGGCGACCTGTGGAAGCTGGAGTCATCCAAGGTAGTGCACTTGGACCCGTTCTTTTTATACTCTTCATACTTGATATAGACGATATATTTAACTGCAATACTAAAATTTACAAATTTGTTGATGACATCCTTGCATACATTGTTGGAGACCTAATATTAACTTTGTTGCACAGGAAATATGCAACAAAGTTAATTGCGGGTGCATTAAAAACCGAATGTTATTAAAAACATTAAAATGCAAAATCATGAGCATACCTAATAACACACTCGACACACGCCCACCGCCAATTACTTCTATTCAACTCCAAAGCTCTAGAACATGTAACCTTATATAAATACCTAGGATTAAATTTAAATATTGAAATAAACACCGACCAATACTGGCATCATATCAAGTCCAAATTCTCCTCAGCTCAGTACCTTATTAGAAGTCTAAAAAAACTAGGCCTTCACAGTGAATTACTAGTAACAATATACCGAAGCATTGGACTTGATCACTTGATCCATAATGCACCATTACTTTTGCAATCAGTATAAAAATAAAGCACTAAATACAGCAAATACTTGTAAAAATGCTAAAATTTATAGGTTTTAGTCTAGAAATTGCCAGAAAAAAATATAATATTGAAAACACCGACACATACATTGACAATATATGTATAAAAATCTTAAAGCGTATTCTACAAAACCCAAATCATCCGCTAAACATAAAGACAAAAAATAAATTTAAAATAACAACAAGACAAAATATCAACTTTGGTTACAAGATAGCTACTGCAAATACGGCTTACAAAAATAGTTTTACACAAAGAACATTTCGTCTTACAAGAGATGAGAAACATAATTTGTACATTAGTTAATCAAAGCAACTACAAATCTAACAACAAAAATATGTGGGCATATAAATGTATGAATGCGTGTATGTAAGAATGTAAAAAATTTTGTACTTTCTAATTTTTTAGACCATTGAATTTAAATAAAAGATATATTAAGAAATATCGGTTTTTGGTATGTTTTTTAACCGAAAATTTGGTTTTTATCGAATTTATAAAAAGTACTAAAACCAAAACTTCAGTATCGGTTCGATTTGAAACTTTGGCCGAAACAGAAATTCGGTCAATCACTTATTGCATCTACATGCTGTTTTAATTAACCTGCAATGCACAAGCCATTCAAAAGCAGTTTGTGAATATGTCAAAATGTAACCACAAGGCACTTGTGGTTAAGTAATTTAACAGCTATTGTTTCTAGTTTTGATTGACACGCATATGGTTTTGATTGACACGCATATGTTTTCATATACTAACAGGGTTGGAATGTCTTTGAGGGGCCCGGGGAAAAAATAAATTTATCTGCATGGTTTGAAAAATATAGTCATTTTCGTCGCACCAATTTTTTTCCTGGACATTATTGCCATACTAAAATGGATTTATGGTTATGATAATCAAATTTAATTTGTATTTTATTGTTTAAAGAGCATAGCTATTAACGCAAAATTGAAAAGAAAAAATTTATTTTCAGTTTTATTATATGTTATATATTTTATTTTATTATAGCATAATTTTTTTTGAATTATATAAAAAAAAATTTCTAAACAATTTATTTTATGGGAAAATGAGAAATTTTTTACATTAACCCATTTTACCGAAATTAAAGCTGAACTCTATTTATATTTCACTATAAATTTTTTATAAATACAAAAAAACTGAAATATAATGTTTACTTAGAATTTTTATTTTTTTAAGCTAAGAGTTTTGTGATATATTAAAATTTACAATGAAATAAATCATTTTAATAAATAAGAGAAGTGGAGCAAGCAGAAGACATAAATTGTCTTATCATCAAGCCCCATCATAAAATTTACATTAAAAAATCGTCAGTTAATATAAAAAATGAAGAGTAGCTAAGTACATAACAAGAATTTTAAATACGTTAGTTACAATATAACTAATAACATAATATAAATATTAGTGTTGAAATATAACGCATTATACCAAAGATTAACAATAATTTAAAAGAATTAAAGTTTTTTAACAAAAAATTTAATTAGATTAAAATTGCATCAAAAGAGAAGTAGTGTCAATAACTATTTTTTTAGATAATTTATATTATTTGTGTATTATTTTTAAAAGAGATATTTTAAATCAAAGTCTTTCTGTAATAAGAGATTCTTTGATTCATTTCTGAATTTTTCCAAAGAGATGTGTTAAACATTAATAATTTTTGTGATAAATTTTGAAAACTGTTTGCATAGAAACGGTCCTCGGTATTGGATTTTGTAAGAATTTAGTTTTGAATTAGTTTTTGGAACAATAAAGTTATCAATTAAAAATTTAGTAGGATACTTTTGCAAGATTTTACTAAAGTAAGACTGAAATACAATAGGAGAGAGTTCATGTTTAGTTTTAAACATTATTTATAGAACTTGGTGTATATTAAATTTACAGACACTTAGGGCACCGAGCTTCCTTAAAAGAGGTTCACATTGAAAAGTTTTGTAGACACCAAATATAATCCTGCATGCATGTTTTTGCTAGCTATGAAGTTTTTTTAACTTACCATAGTTAGTACTACCCCATACTTTACCCCATACAGCACATACCCCATACATACCCCAAAGAAATAATTATATTTTAAATACCTGGGCCCTTATATAAAAATATATATATATAAAATATATACGCATATAAAAATTATATACGCTTACATAAAATATATACTCATGACTAAAAAGAAATACGAAATTTGATGTTTTTTTGTATTAAGTTTTTTAATTTTTTACACAAGATAGTTTATTCATCCATTATTAAATAATGATAAAGAGCTGCTTTACAATGTCTTAGTAGATTTTATTAAATATTTCACATTTTATTCAAAGAAATAACCACATTTACTGTACTGTCTTTGGATACAAAAATACAAATTATTATTAATTAATTACTGTTAGTTGATAAATATTTGCATTTTCAAAATTGTAAAAATACAAATTGTTATTAACTGATAATATTCAGTTAATAAAAGTTTGTATTTTTGTGTTTTTTAATTTGTGTACCTTCATTTAAAGTGAGGCCCTGGACTTTCAGACATAGCAGGTCCCGCTGAGTTTCGCCTTCTTTCCCTAATCTCCAGTCAGTTGCCAGTCCAATTCTGTATACTAATTACAACACTACTATATGAGTCAGGTTTGTAGATGTTAAAAATATTGTGTTTTGGTAACTGAATGTATGATAGAACAAAGTTTTTGTAATTAATACCATAATAACGAAAGTTAAAGTTGTGGCAGCAATAGCAAGCGGTTCCGTTTTGTCACAATATGATGAAAATTTTTTGTAAAAAAAAGTAATTTTACTTGAGTATGTTATTACAAAGCCAGAGCCAACAATACTAGGAGGAAGAAGGAGGGCCGGGGAACTTCTCTTCCCCCCCCCCTCTTCTTTTCTAAAGGATATTTTTTCTGCAGAAAATTCTAGAAATAGAGAACTTTTTTAAAAACTGACGACCCGTGTTGTTGGTTCTGGTTACACCCACATTTATTGAAAAGAGTTTTTTTTTAGTATATAATAGTTAGGATGTAATTAGAGTTAGCATCGTTAAGCTCTATTTTTATTACTTTAAGAACTCCGTTTATTCCCAGCGGGCATTTGTTTTTAAAAGTTACGTACTAAATGTCTTTTAAATGTCTTTTAAACGTCTTCTAAACATTCTAACGTATAAAACATTTAAAAGACGTTTAAAAAACGTTTAAAAGACATTTAGAACGTAACTTTTAAAATTAAATGCTCGTAGGGTTTCTACATAAAATATTTTTAGTTAATTAGTTAATTTTACAATGCTTATTATGCTACTTTAATAATTCATGTTTGTTTTTAGTTTAACTACTTTAATGCTTGTTGAACACTTGTTTTATTAGAGTTAACATAGACATCTTTATATTAAATGTTCTCATTTTATGGGCATAAATTCTCTCAGTTTTTGTGCATAAATTGCTAAATAAACTTTTTCTTTATTTTGCAAATTAACTAAAATTCCTTTTGGTTGACTTTTTCTTGACATTGTTTTAATGGGTTTACTTTGATATTCTGTCTTTACTTGTGGCACAGATATAACTTCTCCAATTTGTGCATTATTATTTTACTTGATTTCAGTTTCTACTATTTATTTTAGTTTCTATTATTTCAGTTTCTATCTATTTCAGATCTACTAAATGGTTAAATTTTGTATAGTACAATTTTGTCAATAAGACATTTTCAAACAACCCTTTTCTCATCTTAGAAATCGTATTTAACTGTTTCTTGGTCTTTTTTTTTCTGAACGACAAAGCAAATTGAAATAGAGGTTGTTTTTTAGATAGAGTAGAATTAGTTTTTAAAATGTTTGAACATTTTTTTTCTTTTACTTAATTAACCAGGTCACAGTTTTTAGTCAAAAATTGGTAATTTTTTTTTTCAAATTAAGGTATTTGAAAAATTGTTATTGGTTTAACATGATTTAACAACCTAAACCAGTAAAAGTTGTTCTGATTTTAAGAACTCTAAGGTGTACTTACGGCCTTATCGCAGAGTACCACAGACGAGTATTCAACGATCAATCCACGACCGCTGTTTGATTGGTTATTTTCTTCTTATTGACAAATCAGAGATTTAATAATAGGTTTAAGTAACTTAAGGTCTTTTTTATTCCAATATAAATTGAAAATTATTCCATAAGTAATCATTTTAAATAACTATGAAATTTATCTTATTATTATTAGAACTAGTTATGAAAATCACTTATGAAATTGATCAAATTTTGCATTTTATATTAGATTTTTGTATAAATGTCATTATACAAATGCTTGTACAATGAAATTGGTACTTTGTATAACTTAATGGGGATAGACAACAAAAAAAAAACAACTTAAATTTACTGTAATAAGTTTTTTTACAACAAGAAATATAAACAAAATAATGTTGACAATGAACACTATTAAGTTAACTAAACAATGAATTCTTCTTTAAATCAAGTGAAGTTTTTTATTTCCTGGAGTATCTTAGATCTTAATTGTCCCTCGTTTTCAAAAATTTTCTAATAATCCTGCGCATTTTTTACGCCTCTCTCTCGCGCATTATTTATGACTTTAAAAATTTTTTAAAAAATGATTTCAAAAAATCTTTTACAAAATATAAATACAGTTTCAAAGTTAACAACCATCTCCAAAATATTTTTACTCCATATCAACTTCAATAAAAAGTTTTATTAAGTTAATAAAAATTAACTTTTTAATAATTTGAATTATTAGTATGGGATAATACAATTACTAAACTTGCTTAGTAATTGTATTATATTAAAACTTATAATAAGAACTCCATTTCTATGCGCCTAATGTTACTTAACAGTAACATTAGGCGCATAGAAATGGAGTTCTTAACAGTAACATTAGGCGCATAGAAATGGAGTTCTTATTGGAGTTTTTCTTTCATAATAGTCTTTTTAAAAACTATTAAGCAATTCTATTCTTTGAGTTTATAATGAGTAGGATTGACAATAAAGAAATCTCTCGCTCTTTATCTCTATTATCTACTAAAAGTCTCTTCGTAAAATTAACAAAATAGTTTTTATTGCAATAGTATTTAAGGTTGATGTACTTGATACCACCTAGAAGTTTGACTCTGAAGTATTTTTAAAACTTTTTGAACAACTTTCTTATTTTATTGCTTTGTTCTTATCCTAACTAATTTTAAAACTTTTTGAAAAAGCAATTTTAAATAATGCTTTTGTCCTCGTTGTTCCAGTCCACCCCTCCTACCTTAGCTTTCTTAACAAAATGATTTTGTGTAATTTTCTGGTAATCAAATGTCAACTGAAATAAAGTTGATTGAGTTCAACAATGGCATCTTAATATTTAAAAACTTTGATTCTTTGACTAACAAATAATGCTAAAAACATTTATATGACCGAGAGTTTCATTTGATGCATATTCTACTCATACTATGCCTCAAGTTTTTTTTATCAGTCAATGAAAAAACATGTTATTACAAATTATATTACGATAAAACATGTTTTTATAAGATATTCTTTAAGTAAACTAAAACCTTTAGAGCAGTCTTTTTTGTACAAAAATGACTGCTCTGAAAATGTCAATTTACTCAAAAAAATATTTTTAAACCATCTTAATGCGTAAATAATTTGTATTTCAGGTTGGTCAAATTTGTGAACAGGTTAATCCATGTGAAATTACTCAAATATGTCGAGATGTATGCGATTCCACTAACAAACATACTTTTTCTTGCGTTTGTAAGTAGACTTTCTTTTTTTATTAGTGCTTAATTTGCTTGATGGTTTATTAAGTCACTTTATATAAATGACGGAATTTTTTTCCATAATGTTTTGTTTGTTGCAAATAACTTTTTTATAAACTTTCGTAATATGTAAGTATTTTTATAAATTTTTTATAAACTTTCGTAATATCGCAAGGTTAGAATTGTTTTGTTCTATCTCCACAAATAAATAAAAATGAGTTAGATCAATTTTTTTTCCTTTTACGGATAAAAAATAATTTTTTACAAATAAATCAGTAAAAAAAATAATTTTAAAACTTACCTGACATTGCATTTCTTCTCCTGTTTAATAAATAAAAATTATTAAGTACCATCTCCGTTTTATTCAATCAAAAGTTATTTACGTCGAAATGGTTGCGGATGTTTTTTCGACCGAAAAACAACAACAAAACTTTTAAGGTAAAACATGTTACTGCTCACACACACACACACACACACACACATCTGATAAACAGTGATGAACAATGAACACGTATATTTGTTGATTTTTGGTTGATGATATGTTACCCAAAAATAAGAGTAATTTAATAAAAGTTTAAGACCAGAGAATTATAGTATACAAGAGGTTGATAATATTCACAGTCAAATAGAGCAGTTGCTCCTATTAAAATATAAAGTCACCTTTATTTAATCAGAGCAATTCCTGCACTACAAAAAAAAAAATTTTGTTTACCAAATGAAAAAAATTAGACTTCAAACATTTTTAGCTATTGCAGGCTTTTTTAATTTTAAGTTTGTTTTGTATATCTAGATAAAGCATCTAGCATTCAGATCATGTATACTTTGAACATGCATTTGAACAAACATTATAATATGATGTTCTGTATACTACAGAAAATCATATTATAATGTTTGTTCAAAAGCATGAGTTAACAATCTATGATCTTATTTATGGCAGAGGTACTAATGTTTTCTGCCTTGAATCAGGGTGCTCAAATTTCAGATGATAAAGCCAATGTCCTTCAAAATTTAATTATTGCACTTTATAAGAGTATTTCAAAATAATTTATTTTATTGTCAAAATATATATGTTTTATATGTTATATTGTTAAATAAGCTTCTTACTGAAATGTTATATTTTTATTGGACTAATTATAGGTGCTGGTTACCTAACTATTCTTTAAAATAACTTTTTACTGTGCAATCTATTTTAGATGTTATATTTTTGAACTTATAACTAAAGTTTTATTTTCTTGTGAAAATCTTGATACATACTTTTTTACATTTTCTTGTGAAAATCTTGATACATACATTTTTTACATTTGTCTTCATATTATGAAGACAAATGTAAAAAAAAATGCCCAGGGGTTTCATTTAACTTACATAATTTTATGTAAATTTAAAAAAAACTTTAAAACTATTGTTTAAGATTCTAAATGTAGTGTATTGAACTTATTGGTCGAAACTAATTGTATATAATTGAATAAACTACGTAAAATTATAAACAAACGCAATTATGTACAAAATGTTTTCAAAGAACTAAAAAGTAAATCAAAATACTTACTTCTATTTAGTTTAGGTATTTAAAAAATACATATCTTCTGCTGCTTCAATTTTGAAAAGAAAAACAACGTAGAAATTTATGTAAAATAAAATAATTTATAAATTGAAAATATAAAGTCGCTATCATTTTTTTAACATTTGAAAAACATAACTTTTAAAAAACCAGGAATTAGATATGGGCGATTCGGCACATAGGTCCCTACGAAATTTAACTTGTTTTTTTTAAAGTGCTTTTAAAAATGTTTGTAAAAGATTTTTAAACAATAGTTTTAAGTATATTGTTGCTTAGGAACATGTATCCTCTAATAATCGACTATATTCGGTTCCACAACATTTGTCAACTGCTTGATTTGACAACTTTTGTTTACTGTTTTATATTCAACGTTTAGCAGTTAATTAGAAAAATGATTTTTTGCTGGTGTACGAAAAACTTTTCAAGTTACAAACAGTTAGCAACAAAAAGTGAGGTTGTTGTCAGCTGCAGACAAACTAAAGTTAAATATTGTTTAAATCACAGCCTAGTCTTGTTATGAGGGTTCTTCTTTTAAAAAACTATTTTTATAAAATAGTTTTTTAAAAAAATCACGTACTAAAAACTAACGTACAGGAGTTTTGAATTTGAAAAACTAGGGGACCTTACACCAAAATACTTTTATAGATGAGAGGTAGATTTACATTCAAATGGCACAGAGGCCGAGAAGAATTTTTTCTTAAGTTTGTTCTGCTACTAATTTGACATCATTTTTGTTTTCTAAAACTTTTTCGCAATTTTTTCAAAATTTATATTTCTAATATAAACTTTTTCTAAACAATTACTAAAAAAATATATATTGTCATGTTGGGCTTATAATACGCTTTATTGGTTCTAAATAAAGAAATTTTAATTGATCAATTCTTTCTGTACTTATAATATTTTTTTGAAAAGCCTTTTTTAATTAATCAACTAAAAAAAATTACAAAAAACACACCTTATGATTAAACAAAAAAAAAATCTATTCATTCTTACATTTGTTGAGAACAAATTCGATGGGTAATAAAAGAATACTTTGAAATTTTAATTTTTTTTTAATGATATTAATTTGTTAGGAAGTTCTGAAAGTTAAATTGAACTGTCGCTTTTGCGGCACTTTCGGGTACAAAATACTCGCTAACTTTTACGTAATGATTTATCATGCTTGTTGCTCAAAGGTAGACCTTGCATTTGGACTTTTCACACAAATACCATTTTGACTTGTTTAAGCAGCGCACAAAGCTTTACGGCTTTTTTTACACTTAAAATAGTTTATTGTTGTTAGAGTTATTCTAACAACAACAGCAAACTATTTCAAGTGCAAAAAAAAACCGTTACTGCTGTTACTTAATTTGTTTGGTATTCATTATTAAAGTTAAGCATAAGTTGCTTTCTAGATTACTTTGCCGTTTTTACTTATTTAGTAAACTTTACATTTACAGCATTTCAAGCTCGTTGAGACAATCCCCTTTGAATTTATGCACATATTTTTCTTTTGTCTTTTAGTGCTAACGAGTTGAATACAAAGCATTTTTTTTATACTGCTGCTAGTGATTGAACTGATTGTATTTGCTTTTCAACCACTTCTTAAATTTTTGCGTATGCTGGTTGTTGCTAAACTTTTTTAGGTGCATATTTAGAAAGAAGTGACTAATATTGAGTAGTAACTAGTGGTAACGGCAGAGTAGCATTAGTAATAACACAAAAACTTATGGTATTTTATAATTTATTATAAAATTTGGTATATTATAAATTATTATAAATTAATCTATTAGTATTTTTATAGTTATAACTGATCAGTCTTGTGGATGTCAAAATAAATTCTTAATTTGATATCAAGTGACTGTTTTCAGATAAGCAAAAATCTCACCAAGCTGACTCTATATGAAAATAATCAATAACATCGTTAAGCTGCAAAATATGTGACGAATAAGCTTGATAAGCAAACTAACAAAAATTAAAATAAGATATTGTTTTGGAGGCAAATTATAACCATTGGATAGGTAGCTTGTCAAAAAATTTACTGTCATCCGATAGATTATTTGCCTTACTTTGACTAATACATGAACTTTGACTTTGATGAGATTTCATTAAATAAATCATTAAATAATAAAAGTATTATATACCATATTAACCATTAAGACTAAAATTATAACTTGAAATTTAACACTGTTGCAATTTAAACAATTTTAAATTTTTTTTATATACTTATGTTTAACCCCTATACAATTAAGTTTAAACATACCACCTCTTTGGTCTCTGACCTCAGAGTTTTTATGTTAATTTTAAAGTAGTTAAACCAGTTTGATTTTAAATAATAGTTTAAATTTCAAAGTTTTAAACTCATAAAGTACGTATAATATATTTTACAAAATAATTATTAACAAATGATATTAACGGAACGGATTTTTAAAAGCGAAACTGATAGAATCCGAGACAAAGCATAGAGGTATTAGATAACAAGCTACAGCTCAAAGCGTTTATTACTTTTAAAATTTTTTTGATTTTTCCCACATTTTTTCAAGACCTAGGTCTAAGCAAACAAGAAAGTAAGAAAGTTTTATAAATAAAACTTTAAAATTTGTACTTAAAAGGAAAAATCCAATTTGTTAAAAATATTAAACGGTTTCGGCTGTACTTTGATATTTGTTATGTTAAAATTAAACAAAAAATAATTTTATAAAATGTATAAGATTTTTTTTTTGTGTTAGTAGATATAAATATAAGCTTATAAAACTCATAGGTACATATGAGTAGTATACCTTTATATTAATTTTAATATTACTAATAAATTCAAATTACTGAAATATCTTTTTTTAAATTCATAGCTAGTATGGATATTTCCAGAGACGCTAACCCAGTTTTGTCCTCAACGTACTGGGGATTTTTATTTGCAAAATATGCTATTGATGGGGATGTTACAACAATAGCAGGTGCTGATGTTGAAGGTCAAAGTTGGTTTAAACTTGATTTACATTTTGTGTATCAGATTACTCAAATTGTTATATACAATCGAGTTGGTTGTTGTCCAGAACGAATGATGGGTAATTTATTAATTGTAAGTGTAACGGATTCGTTCTTGAGTGGAACTGAAATAGCAACCTTGACATCCGATTTGGTGCAAACTTTTACAGATTTATTTGTTGGAAGATATGTTTTTCTTGTTAAAATCCCCGGTGATTATTTGCAATTAGCAGAAATAAATGTTTTTGTTTAACTTGCCAAACAAATTATTTTTTAAAACTCTGATTCTGACTCTACAACTTTTGGTATTTATTGTTGTTTTTTTCGCGCTTTTTTGTCATTGTTTTTATTTTACACTTTAGTGTGTACTGTTTTAGTATGTATTTTAGTATGTATAATATATTAAGTACTGTTGAGCTAAGTTAATTTTTTGTTAAAATTTTTTGTTGAATTTTTTTTTAATGATTTACTAAATCGTATCAGTTAAAAATATAGGAGTACTCAGAACAAAACATTATCTATAATAATGATGCCTAAAAACCAAGCCAAACCAAGAACTAAAAATTTGCTGGAAAAATAATTTTTGTGGCAAGTATAGCCCGAGCCCGGTCCAAAATCACCGCGCGATAGGTTAGAGATATTTGTTGCGATAAAATTACTAATTTATTACGGAGAAAAAATGCAGTTTTTTTTAGTTTTCCAAAAGTTTACACTTTCAGACTCTGCCCTTTTAACGTATGACAATTTAAATATTACTAGCTAAAAAAGCTATCTATTAGCCATAAAAGGTTCGCATTCTGTTTTTACAAACTACACCTAATATTATTTGTAACAATTTTTTCTCACTCTAAAAGTTTAAAAAAGATGAATTTTTATGTAAAATAAAATTTTAAATAGAGATTCCTAAAATATTTTTTTGATCTGACAAAGTTTTAAAACCCAAAATTGCACTTATATAAAACATATATAATTAAAAAAAAATAATGACTTTTAATGTATTTAACAAAAAAAATGCAAATAATATTTGTAGACAACAACAAGTTTGTTTGATTCTTGTTTTATAGTTATCAGTTTGCTTAGATCCTATCTGCAGTGCAGATTTTGCATTTTTTAGGGGGAGCACTAAATACATTTTTTAAGGTTTTAATAAAAAATATTTTGGACTCTCTAGTTATTTTTTATTTTTTTAAATTTTTTTTTGAGAAATTAGAAGAAAGTGTTGCTAGTGATGCGGTTTCAACAAAAAAAGAGTTAGTTTAACCACTATCTTATTCTTTTAATAGTATTTTAATAACGTTATCAAATAATATTTGATAACGTTATTAAAATACTATTAAAAAAAGAATAAGCCTTTCGGTATTAAACGTTAAATATAAAATTTATTTATTTCTTTGTTTTAAACACAGATAACAACTCTCTATGATGAGCTCTAGCTCTATTATACCCATCTCTTACATCTGGTCCAACTACCATCATAGATGCTACTATCACTTGTTTTACAACTACCATCATAGATGCTACTGTCATTTGTTTTGCACGTTCAGTATTTGTGTTTGAATTTTAACAGGAGTTATTAAAAGTGTCAACCTTAGCAATAACAACTTGTCTTTAATAACTATTATACTGCTTCGTTTTTGAATTTAACTCTCGAATTTAGTTAAAAAAGAACTACTTATGAAACGAATAATTCTGCTCCATTACTGACACTGTCTATACAACACATTAACTCTCGACACAAATAACGTTTCAGTAGCACTCAATCAATGAATCTAACTATCCTTAATTATTTTTAATTGTTCTTATTATTTATTACTTTTTTATATGAATAATTTTTAATATTTTTCTTCTTAGAGGCTTTTGATTTTTGTCTAGATATCTGTTTTTTTGTTATTTTATCTTAACTTACTACACCCTTTTTAACTTATTATGCTTCTCTAAGACGTTCACTGCTCAGTACAGTTCTATTAAAATGATTTGAATTTAACAAAGCAGTGGCTACAAAGTTCAGTTTGAGATTAAAATACCTTCATGGCTTCCATTCAAAGCTCCTAACTGGACGGAGTAGTCACAATTTCTTTTTCTCTATCAAGGTTATTTCTAAGAACTCCCAATTAAGAAAGATATTTATAGGGAGTATCTTCCAGTTTGTCTTTAAAAATTAACACATTTAGAATAAAACAAGTAACTCCAGAGCCGCCGGCAATGTTTGGTCCATATGATTGCTAAACGCATGGAATTTTTAGTAGTAAAAATTGTGCAGATATTTTTATTTAATCTCATCAAAAAATCAAATACATATATATATATATATATATATATATATATATATATATATATATATATATATATATATATATATATATATATATATATATATATATATATATATATATATATACATATATATATATATACATATATATATATATATATATATATACATATATATATATATATACATATATATATATATATATATATATATATATATATATATATATATATATATATATATATATATATATATATATATATATATATATATAATATATATATATATATATATATATATATATATATATATATATGTATATATATATAGTGAAAACTAAATAATTATTAAGATATATTTCAATTACATAACTAAAAGTTTCACGCAATAGCGATCACCAGATGTAACAACAATAAAAAGTAACAACAAAAATTATATACAAAAAAATCTCCACCGCAACATCCCGATTTAGTAAGTTTTCGAAAACGATATTTTCGAAAACGATTTTTTTGAAAACGATTTTTTCTGAAAATCTCCACCTCAACATCCCGATTTAGTAAGTTTTAAAAACGACTTATTTAAGCTAATTAAGAACATTTCATTTTCTACAATTCAAAACAATTTTCAAAAGCAACTGCAAACTGACATAGTAAAAATAAAATCTTTAAGTTATGTTTTTGTCTTTACTGATAAATCTAGAAACCTGTATGAGGTAGACAAACCTTCTTATCATAAACTTTATACTGAAAATATTACTAAAACTTATAAAAAATTTGATATCACACAATATAACATCATTGACACAGATGCTAAAATCATAGCAAAAGACTTGGACATAGATGATAGGCTAGAGCGTCTAGCCATGAATACAACATTCATTACTTTAAAAGATCATAAGGATAATTTCCCTAACAATATACAGTGTCGAATAATAAATCCAGCTAAACCAGAACTTGGAAAAGTTATTAAAATTTTGTTAGATGATATCAATATTAAAGTTAGGAATGCTACCCACGTACACTAATGGCACAGCACAAATGGTGTCATAAAATGGTTCAAATCCATACCCGAAAAAAATAAATATACTTTCATTCAATACGATATTGACGAGTTTTACCCTTCAATTTCGTAACAACTTCTTCAAGATTCTATAAACCATGCAAAACAGTTCACCAAAATTCCTGATAAATCACTGAAAATTATTTACCAAACCAGGAAATCTTTACTTTTTTCCGGATATAATATGTGGATTAAAAAGTCGGCAGACCCTAATTTTGATGTCACCATGGGTAGTTTTGACGGAGCCAAATTATGCGAACTAGTTGGTCTCTATATCTTATACACTATTGCCAAAGAATATGATCTTAATACTACCGGTCTATATAGAGATAATAGTCTTTGCTGCTTTTATATTATCAGTGCCCCTCAATTGGAAAAAATAAAGAAAAATCTAATGAAAACTTTTAAAGACAATTTTAATCTTAACATCACTATCAAACCCAATTTAAAAACCGTAAATTTTCTTGATTTTTTTTTTTTTTTTTTTTTTTTTTTTTTTTTTTTTTTTTGTTCTTTAATTTTACAACTTTGTGATTTAATAAATATTCGTTAACAATGTATATATATATATATACATGATCGTTATTAAGAAATAAAAGAACGCGGGAACTCGTAGAAGACCGTAAGGTCTTGTCGTCGAGAACCGCTAAAAAATTTTCGTGTTAATATTTCGTATTAATAAAATATTCTCAAAATAAATAAACTTTCAATAGGAATATATACTTAACATACTTGAAGATAACAAATAATTAAGAATTAAGAATTGAAAACATAAACAAATTTAAAGAAAAAAAGAAAAAGTAAAACGGTTCCGTTATAAATACATGGATGCGTTATACAGTTTTAAGATATCTTTAGCACAATTGTTAAACTTTTTGTTAAAGGTTTTGTTATACAGTTTTAAGATACCTTTAACAAAAGTGTTAAACAACTATTTACAAATTGTTAAATTCTAAAATTTATTAATGCAGTGTTAAATATAAAGTTAAAAAAAAGAAACAAAAAATTAAAAGAATATAGATATCATCTAATAAAAAAATGACTTTTTTAAGTTTTTGTTTGAAAGAGTGAACGCTAACTTCTTGAAAAAAGTCAAAATTTTTTAAAACTATTTTATTCCAAAGTAATGCTTCTCGAAATGAAATGCAGTATTTTCCAGAATTAGTTTGATATGCTGATTGACGAATATTATTATCATTTCGTAAAATGCACTTAGTTTTTTCTTTTTTGTTATACAAATTATGAAAAGCTACAGGAGAAATATTGTTTTTACATTTAAACATAAAACATATAACGTTAAAAATATTAAGCTTATATATATTTAAGACTTTCATTTCAATTAATAAAGGCTTGGCATGAGTAAATCGATCCTTAAAATTAATAAGGCGTGCAACATGTTTCTGTTGACGATAAAGAGGTTCCAGTTTACTTTTATTAGTACTACCCCACGCAATGTTCGCACAGTTAATGTGACAATGAATGAGCGAATAATATAGTTTAAGTAATGTATGTTTATTTAAAAAACACCTTGCTTTGTACAAAATTCCTATGCTTTTTGATATTTTACTACTCAAATTTTTTATGTGACTTTTCCATGACAAATTTTCATCAATATAAATACCAAGAAAGTTTGTAACTGTTACTTTTTTTTAGAAGTATATTATCAATAAAAAGCAGTGGCATTTCATTTGGTATAAGATTTTTTTTGTGATTTGGATGGAAAAAAATCCATTTCGTTTTATCAATATTAAGAGACAGTTTATTTTTCTTAAACCAATCAGAAATTCTTACTAGTTCATTATTGATATTCTGAAATAACAATGTAATATCATTATGAGATAAAAATAAGTTCGTGTCATCTGCAAACATAATCGTCATTAAATTTGAGGCTTTATGGAGATCGTTGATGTAAATAAGAAAAAGAAGAGGCCCTAATAATGATCCCTGAGGAACTCCACAGGTTATATCAAGCAAGTTTACTGGTGAAACTACATCAACGTATACAAATTGCTTTCGATTATTTAAATAGCTTTTTAACCAATTTAAAACACTTCCGTTTATACCGTAAATCTT